GTTTTTTGGCAAAATCGCTGCCTCAGCAGCGATTTTACTTTTTCAGTTGAAGTAAATCGCTGCATCGGCAGCGATTTTACCGTTTTGGTTTATATAAAATTTTATATACCGTTTTGGAATTTTTGTTAATATTTTTTACCCTTTGAGTTTCGGACTCAAACAAAGTAGATAGTATGAGAGGATGGAGAAGTAGAAATAGCGTGACAGTAGTTGGATTTCTTCAATAAAATATTAGTTCAACCAAAAAAGAATTATATAAATGTGGCGAATTATATAAACGTGTTTAATTATATAAATTCAAAGTGAGCCCACTTAATTAATGATTAATGTTAGTTGCGTGTGATAATTATAACTAGAGCCGTCAATATGGGCTAGGCCTGTTGGGTTGGCCTGGCCTAGCTCGTGATTTAATAGAGCTGGGCTATTTGAGCCCATTTGAGAAAATAACTTTTTAGTACGGCCTGAATAAGCTTACTGATTTGTGGGGCTTGAGCGGTAGGCCTGACCCGTGCGCTAATAAAAATTAGGGAAAATTGTATATAATAGCAAACTAATAACCTCAAATAAATGGAGTAGCTAGAGTTTGATTTAATTGTGCTCCATAGCAAACGTTAGCCAAAGTTTGCCTGGCGTCTCTCTCCCAAAAATCTCGCTCGCCACTCTTCCATTCTCGCTCGCCACTCTCCCTCTGCACGCCTCTCTCGCTTTATACACAGAAGTGTATAAATTCTGTTTCTGTTTTGTATAAAGCGAGAGAAAACTGTATATACACATGCAAAAACATATATCTTCGTGTTATACACTTAATTATACAATTTACAAACATTTTACTTCAATTCAATTGTAGACCCACACCAAAAATGAGCTAGCTCGGCCTGACCCGTGGGCTTAAATATCAATAGGGCCAGCCCGTGGGCTAATAAAAATTATTGAAAAAATAATATAATGTTAAAATTTAAAATTAAAGAGAGTTCAAACTCAAAACAATTAGGTTAATATTTATATTTATATATTTATATTTTTAGTTGAAAAAAAAAACTTATTAAATATTATAAAGATAATTTTATTTGTAGATTTGATTAAAAAGTAGTAACATTAACATCATGGAATATTGTTTCGTCGATATTTTTAATAATATTTTTAAATTATAATTTAGAATTTAATTTAATAATTCTAAATATAATATAATTTTTAAATAAAGTAGAGTGACCCGACAGACCTGCAGCCCATGTACTTGTGGGTTGGGCCGACCATTTTATGGCCCACACAAAAAATGGGCTAGCCCGGCCTGACCTGTAAAAAATGTTGAAGCTTGTATGGGTTAGTCCGGATGGGTGGGCTAGACCATATTAACAGCTCTAATTATAACAAACTAACGTTATCATGACTAATTAAGTAGTATAAATTTGCTTAACCATATAGATTTTTTCATATTAATTCAATGCATCACATTGTTGATACAGTGATATACACATGATATACAGAAGAACACTCACGAGGAGTCATTTAATTTTTCAGTGGAACTCTGGCATTTTTTCGACGGGAAGTGGTGGGATGTGGACAACGATGTTCAAAATTTGTGTTAAAGAGATGATAAAATTCCAATTTTATTTATTTTTTGGATTTGTTAGAGGTTGTATATGTATTGAAAAGTTACAATTTTTATTTTTTGAAACTAAAATAATATTATTAACAGAAAGTTATTATAGGAGACTATAATATAAGTGTATATTATGTCGTTTGATGAGACTTTTGCTATTTACATACCATCTCTACCTTTTTGCGTTGATACGATTTTGGGAAGATGAATTTCACTATCAAACCCCCAAGACGTGTAGTTTATGTTTGATATATCGAACAATAAATTCACGGTTAGAATTAGTTTGAATAACTTTCAAAGTATAGCAAACATAAAATTTATATTTGTATTGCTATAGATTAGTTTGCATGATTGCGCTGCATAACAAACATAAATATGTACAATTCGCTTACATATACAAAGAAAACAATTGTATAATTCGCTATACATATACAAAAGAAAGCAGTTGTATACAAATCAATTGTATAATTTTGTGTATGTATAAAATGAGAAAGAGGGAAAGATAAAAAAAAATTGTACATAAAAATATTTATATCGTATAATTATAAGTGTATAGGACGAAGATATATGTATTTGCATGTGCATATACTATTTTCTCTCGCTTTATACAAACAGAAACACAATTTATACGTGAAAGTTACTCTAAAATCAATTGATATACTTCCTTGTGCCTTTTTAGATGACAATTGGACTTTTCAAAAGTCAAATTTGACTAATTTTCAAAGTTACATTAGATTACGTTAATTTAATATTTTGAATTGAAAATCTAATTATTCAAAACTATACGTAAAGTAATATAAATTGCAAGTTTTTGAATATCATTATAATGAAAAAATACATTTTAAAATATTAGTCAACGTTTATCCTTTGACTACGTGAAAGTTGCTCTAAAATCAATACATAGAGAAGAAATGTATATAATATACAGAGATTGATACGCTTCCTCCGTTCGTTTATAAATGTCATTAGGACTTTTTAAAAATTAAATTTGACTAATTTTCAAAGCTAAATCAAATTAGATAAGTTCAATATTTTAAAGTTAAAATCTAAATATTCAAAATTATAAAAAAAGTATTATAATTTGCAAATTTTTGAATATCATTATAATGTTAGTCAAAGTTTTATCCTGACTCTAAAAAAAAAAAGAGAGACCATGACAACTAAAAAGGAAAAATATACAATTTATTCAATTGCAAACTTATTTAGGAGACTATACAATGTCTAATGAGAGTCTTTACAATGTAATTGTTATTAATTCTAATTATTATTTTTATGTAAAAATGAAATTTAATTTATTATTCTATTTATTGAAAAGTCAAAGATGTTATGGAAAGTTATAAATTGCAATCTTGTATAATTACAAACTTATTTGATTAAAGGCTTATTTAGGAGAATGAATACTCAGAATTCACAATACAATGTATCTAGCTATAATTATTTCACTCTCTAAACATGGAGATATTTATTAATTATGAGTCAATATAATCTCATAATTTACTTTCTCTAAACATGGAAATAAATTCATCTTTTATGAGTCAATATAAAACTATACTAAGTTATTATGACTATAAAAAGTTAGAACCAAAAGAAAGTCTAGACAATTAATTAGCCTTTTGTGTGTTATAAGGTGGTATTGAGTTTCTCAATCATTAGGAGCATCAATGGCCATTTTCTTGATAATTTTTGTTGTGTTTTTTGGATTTTGCATTTTGAGTACTCCTCTATTTAGATGGATTGACATTGTGTACAACAAGAAAAATTTGCCTCCTGGAACTATGGGTTGGCCAATTTTTGGTGAGACTAGGGAATTTCTAAATCAAGGTCCAAATTTCATGAAAAATCAAAGAGCAAGGTATATATATATATATATATATATTCTCATTTCTTTTACTTCTTTTTACTATTTTGTCTTAAATCTATGAAGGGGGTTTATATGTC